CCAACGAAGGTCAGCCATTCGGAAAGGACCCCGGAGAACTTTGGCAGGTCCAGAGTTGGGAGCCGTCCCAACAGCTCCGGCTGAAGCTGCTTCCGAGAGGACTCGGGCAGGCCACTCATCCGAGCTTCACGTGCCTCCTCGGCATACCTGACTTCAGCCTCGATCAACTCGTCCGTGAGCCAAAGGAACTGCTCATAGTCCGCGAAGCAGGAGTCCAGGACTCCCTTCTACACATCCGAATCCTCGAGCTCAGCGTAAGCCTCCTCCACTGCGGCCCTTCGAGCATCCACCTACTCGAACCGCTTCATCAAGTTATGGACCCTATCCGGTCGACCTAACAAAGCATGGGCGCTTGTGGCCCAGCGTAACTCAGTCCGCAAGCAACGGATTAGTAGCTTGGGCGATGACATCACTACTAAATACAAATAACGACGCGGCTCGAACACAAATTACAAAGATAACAAATAAAAAATACAACAAAAAATTAACAGTTAATAAATGCAGCTCCTATCAAATCGCGTTAAATAGCAATTACACAAATACGAATTACTACGTATCAACCAAATACAAGTTAGCACAACAGGAAAGACACAAATCAAATTAACAAATAACAAATACTAGTGCGATCAAATCAAGTTAAATTCAAATGGCGCAAATACAAATTACTACTCTTTAGTTCAAATACAAATTACAGTATAAACGAAGATACACATCACGGTCGATCAACAAAAAATGCCTAGCTCGGAAATCGACCCTACGATAAGTAATCCACTACAACTATCCGACAACGATAATTAACCGATTACGTAAAAATAACCATCTACCTACATGACGTATATCTCTAGAAAAACTCCCGCTTGCGCAACCTAGGGCGCGGCTTTTCAAACAACCCACTAACCAAAAAAAAGGCAAGCAACAAACAACAAAGGGAAATAATTTTATTATTACGTACAAAAAATATTTTTACGTATTACGGACGGGCGTGATTGTAGATACAAATTAAACCAATCAAACCAACGCTCCCTGCCACCAGAATTGTTTAATTTTTATCAAACACCCATAGTGTTCGAGATCGACCGGGGAATCGAACCCGGAACCGCGCTCTGCTACCAGAATGTACACGCCCCTAGCTGCCCCAACCAAGGCTGACGGGATTAGGGCCCATGAGTAATCCCATCGACGAGCAGCAGAGGGACGGGGCCAGAATATGGCCACGTGGAATCTCTCTAATTACACTAAAATATATGGGGGAGCGTTCTATACTACGGCCAGTCAGAATTTGGACGTAGCTTACTTACCTTTATCCATGGCGACTGGTCCCTCCGGAGTCGGTCAGGTCGCATGTGGTTGTGTAGTGAAAGGGAAATAAAGTGATGTGATGTGTATCTGGGTGTGACTGATGGTGATTGAACCTAGACCTTGACCGTCGGCAGCAGCCCGAGCGTCGACACCGCTCCAACTTGAGGGGGCCTTCCGAGGTTGTCCACAGTCACTTTCCTCTTTTGTCACGATGACAGTCAATTAACTCTATCGTACGATTAACTAACTTACAGAAGCCACTAACTATCGCTGGGTATAAGGTTAACTCACAACACGGAGTTTACGGATCAAAGGTAACTACCGTTTCGCGTCGCAACAGTTAGTTCTAGAATATCAGAGGGCGCACTAGCTAATATTGCCGAATGCACTTATGCAGATTCTGAGTCAGGCACAATGAGTTCCTGGGAAACTCTCCAGCAGGAATGCGCGTCACAATGGTAGACCGTATATTTACTGGCCGCGCCGAATTATTCCGAGTTCCCGACAAAAATGACAGCGTGCTGTTCCAAGCACAGCTGACAGACGACTCTTTCGCCTTTACGCTCGCTAACCCGCACGCCACTTGCCACGCTCGGCCAAACTTCAAACCGGTATTGCCCAGAGCCGCGCGCCCCCTTGACTTCGAAACCGACAACCACTATTTGGCGCGAACATATATATATATGAAGTGACAAATGAACTTATAGCACTCGTAATGGAAAGGGGCTACTGCAATCCATGAAAACCTGCAGCCAGCTTCATACAAAGAAGGCTACGGTTGCGGTGTCACCCCTGAGGACTATGATGGAATGCCTCACAGCCTGTTACTATACTGGCTCTCTATGCCCTTCAAACTGGTAGAATACAGCAGTGCTAACACTACTATTTGGGAAAGGTGGTATCTACACATACGTTTCCTAGGCAGAAAAAAATAATACTACCACCTACTGCCACAGAGGTCGCCCTGAGGACTAAGGTGAAAGTTTTTGTTCTTTTCCATTACACCAACCCATTCATGCTTCAGCTATAATACACATCTTTCATAGACACGCAATATCTTCATTCATCACCGGACCAATGATAGATATGGCCTATCAATTTCATTGGTGCCGGCGGGAATCGAAATATATATCTATGAAATTTTATATAAGTTCCTAGTCCTTGGGTTTTAATACATGGCTCTCGCCAAATTAAGTTTTTTATCATATTAAAACAGTGATATAAAAGGCTTTATGGTGGAGAACTATTGAAAATAATATAAATATAAAAATGCGAATCGTTACAAACTTGCCATGTCATGCCTTACGTAATGGCGGTATTTATTATTATATGTTCATAGCTTTATCGTTTTTTTTGTGGTTTCGCTCTTAGTATTGCTGGTGTATCAGTGCACAGCGTACATCATAGGTGAAGTATAGATATATATATATATATATATATACTCGAGAGTGTACATACATTTTACTAGTTACTTGGAGTTTGTTGTTGCTTATTACCGTTGAAATAAAACAAATGTTTAAATAAGTAAGTACTTTTATGTACATATATATTTTTTTATTTTGTGTTATTATATATTATTAGAACATAAATAAAAATTTGTTTTCAAAAAACTAAAAATAAACTTCGATAAGGTTGACGTCGGGGATTGACTTGCTCGAACACACATATAAAATGTATATCATCGAATGGAGAATCTTCCTCCTTATTTGAAGTCTCTTTAGATACCATCCCGATACCATCCACACCATCTGGATGATTGACGGTCCACCGCTGTGCAATTTAGAAGATGTGTTCTTCCTCGCACAACTTCCTTGTGGAATCGATTACCACCAGCGATTTTTTCGGACCAATACGACTTAGGGACCTTCAAGAAAAGAGCCTACTCCTTTTTAAAATGCCGGCAACGCATCTGCGATTCCCCTGGTTCCACTGGTGTTGCAGTTGTTCATGGGCGGCGGTAGTCACTTACCATCAGGTGAACCGCATGCTCGTTTGTCCCCTTTTCTATAAAAAAAGAATCAATTAATTTCGACATAATACCTAAAGTCGGTGCTTACACATAGTATCTTATTTAATTGGACTTTTTATGAAAAGATTTTATGTGGAATTTCTGAAGTCGGCGCTGAGACGTAGTGACGTAAGGACTGTATTGAAAAATTAAAGCCCCGACTTCAGAAAATGAAATTATTTTATTACATATTATATTTGTTCGTGGTAGAGCCATGCTGCAGCTATATTAGTAGTATAGTTGTAGCACGAATGGGTCGGCTCGACGGGGGAAGGACCACGCTCTCACAGAAAACCAGCCTAAAATAGCAGCTTAACGCTGCTGTGTTTCGTATGGTGAGTGTAGAGAACCGGAGACCCTTTTTACTGGCAAAGAGGCATTCCATCTTAGTCCTCACGGGTGACAACGCATCTGCATCTTGAGTCTTTATTGAGGATAGATATAAGTAGATGTCTATGGGTCACAGTAACCACTTACCATCAGGTGGACTGTGTGCTCGTTTGTCACCCTATCCTATAAAAAAAACTTTTAAATCTTTGCTTTGACGTCAAATTATAATTTTTATAAAAAAAATAATTTTATGAGCCTTTAGAGTGTACTAAAGAATAACATAAGCCATAAAAAGGTAACAACTAGAATGTATTCATTAAAATTAGTTACAAACTTTATCCCCTATTTTTTCACCAAAAGCGTGGTCCCTTAATATTTAAATTTGACCATTGTGTAAATAACCTTTTTATTTAAAAACATTAATTATAATTCGTAATTATCGATTATAAAGCGTAAAGTATGTACAGAAAGAAACATACTTAAGTTCCTCCCCCTATTTTGAAGTCGACTCAAAACTTCGTCGAAATAATCTTTTATTTTTATTAAACAGACTAGGTCTATGTCCCAGGTAGGTATATGTCCCACTGCTGCTACTGGGCACAGGTATTCCCTCATTTCTGAGAGGGTTATACGGCAAGGAAGTGTTCGCTGCACTGTCCTAATGCGTTTTGGCGGACTTCACTTCCGCGGCGGGCTTCGAAATATTTTTTTTATTTCTCAGAAATGCTGGTTTCCTCACGATGTTTTCCTTCACCGAAGAGCTGAAGGTTCATATAAAAAAATAGTAGTCCTATTTAAATTTTAGTTCTAACCTAACCTAACCCACAAAAATAGTTAATGAACACCAAATGTATTAAATTTTTATACACGGTAAAGAGCTACCTGCAGCTACATTATAGTTGTAGCACGAATGGGTCGGCGCGACCGGGAAAGGGCATCGCTCTCACAGAATAACAACGTAAAATATTAGCTCAATGCTGCTGTGTTTTATATGGTGGGTGTAGTCAATCAGAGACCCTTTATTCTAGAAACGAAGCATTCCATTTTAGTCCTCAGGGGTGACAACACATCTGCATTTTGATTCTTAACCGATTATAGGTTTAGATATCTATGGGCCACAGCATCCACTTACCATCAGGTGGAATGTGTGCTCGTTTATCACCCCATTCTATAACAAAAGAAAATCTATCTAGATGGTACAACTCCTTTTCTGCCTAGGTCTCCGGATAGGTACCACTCTCTAACTTGCTTCTACCGCCAATTGTGCCTGTACTTCTTTGATTCGTCTGTTCTTTGTTCCGGTCTGAATAATAGTGTTATCAATGCTTCAGATAACCTACTAGAATTACTTGGAGCATATAAAATGTTACTTCAAATCGGACTGGCTGCATTAGCAGCTTTTGTTATATGGAAATTATTGTTTAATGAAGATGACAATCCCCTGGACCAACTTCCAGGACCACCGAAATGGCCAATTATTGGAAGCGCTTTAAGTTTTATAGGGACGTCGAACAGTGAGTATATTTTTGATAGTGAAGTAATTTTATTGTTATTTTAGTCAAATATTTAAGATTTTCCTACAGACTGAGTCTAATTTTCATTACGTCTCCGTGGCGCAGTGGCCAAACATTTGGTTTGTTGCTGCAGGAGGTTCGAATCCGATATGCAACAAGTGTTTTATGACATTTTATACTATATAAAAGGAAATTCTCTTACAAAAAAGTGGTATAATTAAAAACGTTGTACAACCAACTTCCACATAAATAAAATGAGAACATCATCAATATAGTTGAAGTCATTTAAATATGCATTATTAAGGATAACTCAAAAAATTTATATGGGACCACAGCACCAGCTTTCAAATAAAAAAAGAATAATCAAAATGGGTTCTTCTAGAAAAAAGTTATGAGCTAACACATAAAAAATACAGTCGAATTGAGAACATCCTCCTTTTTATGAAGTCGTATCGTAATTCAAAACATTACAGTTGATTGTATATCAAAGTATATATCAATTGGAACAGGGCCAGCGTCAGGGCCTGGACCCTTGACAGCGGTGTCTATTCACCAGGCGTTGAGATGCACGTGGTATAGCATCGAATATATAGTGCTATATTTCTTCAAACTACCTACGGCGCGGACCTTTCAGCCAAGTCAGGGGGAAGTGAATGACATTATTAGTAGTAGATCTGTGTGTAAAATTAATAATATAAACAATGTAACTCGCTACGCGTAGGCTTGTCAGGAGGCCGAGCATGCAGCAATGCGATATCTTATACGTGGTAGAACCATGCTATAGCTATATTATGGCTGTAGTATGAATGGTTCGACTCGATTGGGGAAGGATCACGCTCTCACAGAATACTGCTGTATGTGAGTCTAGAACCTTTTAACTGGAAACGGGGCAACCCATCTTCGTCCTCAGGGGTGACAATGTATCTGCACTTTGATTCTTAATCGAGGATAGATGTAGATGTCTTTGGACCACATTATACACTTACCATCAGGTGGACTGTGTGCTCGTTTGTCACCCTTATTTTATTAAATAATAGTCTGCTTGCTGAGTGCGAACATCTTCGAGGTGAATCGTTTGATAAACGAGTCTAGATTCTCCATTTGTAGACACTTGCGAATGGTAGCCTTCCTCAAAGAGTGGGTAGCTCCGAAGATGGTTTGTAGGGTAATATTGTACTGAGCATCAGAAACATCATTCATCATCGTTCTAACCATTTCAATGACCTGTGTGTTATATATGAACATTTAGATTGTTTAACCATTGTGTCTTATTTTGCGGACAGGGAAGTTGTTTAAAATCCATTTGATTTTCTCATTACCACTTTTTGTGGTATGAGAAAATCAAACGTTACATACACGTAAAAAATGTATGGAAAAAAAAACTGGTGAACAAATTACTGGTTTAACAATTTAAGGTTGTTTCTTCGTCATTAGATACCGACTTAAAAATAGCTTACTTTTTTATATGCACGCCGAATTAAAACAACGAGGAACAAGATGTTTCATAAATAACGATATAGATCAATAGGCGTCTCCCGCCTTTTAGGGTCGAGCTTAGCATGTCCATACAGTTAATAAAACTCCATTAGAATAGAATAGAATAATTTTATTCAATATAGATTATTACACAACAATTATTGATAGTCAATTTTTTATTTACCACTGGTTCGGAAAATACCTCTGTCCTGGGAAGAACCAGCAAGAAACTCAGCTGGATTATATTTTTTTAAATATAAAACTCTACAATAATTTTGTAAAAAAAATTATAAGAATTTTGATAGAATCAGCATGGTGGCGATCACCTAATTCCTAGAGTTATTTTCATTCATGTGTTGATTGATATTATAATGACCCTTTTTGTGCAATTTTTCTTTTAAACTTGTTTATTGACAAATTTAATATTTCCTGGGATTTTGTTGTAAAAACATATACATTACATCTTAGTTCTCAGGGGTGAAAACGCTTTTGCATTTTCATTCTTAGTCGAGGATAAATTTAGATGTCTAAGCAGCGTCCACTTTCAATCTGGTAAACTGTGCTCGTTTGTCCCTCTTATTCTATAAAAAAAAAGAAAATGCAAAGGGATGCAACATTCCTTTGCAGCGGCAGTGAATCGAGATGATCAGATAGAACTCGGACGTCGAAGATTCGAGCCGCTCCGCGCTGGATGCGGTCAAGTGTAAGGAGCTGGCACTGGGATGCCCCGTCCCAAAGATGAGAACAGTATTCCATGAGAGGCCGAACTTGTGCCGGTATGAAATACTGTCCCGCTGTGCTAAGTACGTTAAGCTTTTTAGAGGTCAATTTAGCCTTTCCCTCCAAGTAATCATGAAATTGCATGTCATTCGATATGTCGACCCTGAGGATTCCGATGCTAGCTGAGGCAGTAACAGGAGTGCCGTGAAAATTGAAGACATACGAGAATGAGGTTCTTTTAGCGGTAAACGTGCAAAGCTGTGTCGTCTGAGAGTAACACTAGTCTAGATTTAGTCATCGCCAATCTGAAACTTTGTTTAACAACGTCTCAACTTCAGACATAAGTTTGTTCTGGTACTAAACGACGTGATTCGAAAATATTGGGACGAGCGGTGCAAAATCATCACTTGTGCTGTCGTCCGCATAGCAATTAATGCTCCTTGCAAAATACCATTAATACTATTACAGAAGGGGGAGGCTTCTGTTATAAATAAACGAGGCTGTCTGATGTAAAAAATAAATTTTAAATAATATGAATTTACGTGATCAGGTACTCACTCACCTGTGAATGATGCGTTTAAGTCCTGATGTTGTAGAAATTCACGAATAGCATGGCAGGGATCGCCTTTGTCTTGTTGGTCAGCTTTCCATGCGCTGAAGACGCGTGGTAGCCTGAGCACCCCACGCTCAGGAGGAGTGCGAAAGCAAATTTTTGGTGTTAAACAAAAGTACTAATTTCAATAGAGCATTATTTACATCAACATTATTAATTGCTGCCGTTTGAGTTTCAAAATGAGGGAGGTATCATTCGCAAATACAATGTCGTGATAATTCCCTACAACGAACGTAAGTTAGTAATATAGATTAAGAACAGGAATGGGCCAACAATTGAATCCTGAGGAACGCCCATTGATACTACCGACCCTGAAGAACCTTTATCATTGATGACGACTTTTTAGGATCTGTTACTCAAATAAGAAATAACAAATCTAAGTGCAATATTTCTACTACCGTAATGTTTTAGTTCCTGATTACTGTTAATGATGAACACAGTCGAAAGCCTTGGAGAGATCACAAAAAAAAAAAACACCAAATTGATTTTTATAGAGTAAATTATTTGTTTATTTTTTAACAACATTTAACAAAAGTAATAAGTTGGTAGTACAGAAACAGGTATTAAATTAGCGGAGTTCAAAGTACTACCAGGTTTAATAAAGGTGTTACTTAACGGGATTTCATTGAATCAGGAAACATACCAGGTTCAAAACTAGTATTAAAAATAAAAGCAATTATTTTTGATCATCTTCATCATCATTACAGCCCTTCACAAGTCCACTGCTGAATATAGGCCTCTCCCAAGGAATTGCCACAAAGCATGGTCCTGAGCCACCTGCATCCATCGACTTTCTGCATATCTTACCAGGTCGTCACTCCATCTAGTGGGGGGATGCCCTACACTTCGGTCGCCAGTATGAGGCCGCCACTCGAGAAACTTTTTTCCCCATCGGTTGTCGGTTCTTCGAGCTATATGGCCGGCCCATTGCCACTTCAGCTTACTAATCCGTTGAGCTATGTCGGTCACTCTGGTTCTACTGTGGATATCCTCATTTCTAAGTTTATCACGCAGAGAATCTCCGAGCATAGCCCTCTCCATAGCTCGCTGAACGACCTTGAGCTTTCTCATCTAGCTAGCAGTGAAGGACCACGTTTCATTTCCACAGGTCATCACTGCCAACACGCACTAGTTGTACAGTCTCGTTTTCAAGTTATGGGGTTACCTGACGAGAAGATGTGCCGTAATTTCCCACACGCTGCCCAACCGAGTTGAATCCGTCGATTGACCTCTCGGTCAAAGTTGGACTGACATAGTCAGACTCTTTGTCCAAGGTAATCATACTCGTCAACAACTTCGACCGTAGTACTCCCAACAACTACCGGCATAGGTGTGACATGGACATTAAACATGATCTTTGTTTTGTCCATGTTCATCTTAAGACCTATTCATTGGGAGACACTATTCAGGTCATTGAGCATAGTACTTAGGTCCTCCAGCGATTCTGCCATAAGGACTATATCGTCGGCAAATCGAAGGTGGGTGATGTACTCGCCATTGATGTTAATACCGTTTCCTTTCCAGTCCAGCTTGAAAACGTCTTCAATGCAGCAGTGAAGAGTTTCGGGGATATAACGTCACCCTGTCTTACACCTCTCTGCAATTGGATAGGTTTCGTATTCTGGTTCTGTACTCGGATAGTCATCGTAGCCCTACTGTATAAGCACTTCAGCACTTCGATACACCGACAGTTAACTTGGCACCGCTGAAGGGACTGCAGCACCGCTCAAATTTCGGCGGAATAAAAGGTTTTCTCATAGTCCACATACGCCAGACATAGTGGCAAATTGTACTCCTCGGACTTCTGTACAATTAGCCGAAGGGTATGTATGTGGTTTATGGTGCTAAAGCCTTTTCGGAAACCGGCTTGTTCGGGAGGCTGGAAGTCTTCAAGTAAGCGCGCGAGACGATTCGTAATGACTCTCAAAAACAGAACATAGACGCGGTTCAGAAAGGAAATCGGTCTGTAGTTCTTCAAGTGAGCGTTGTCACCTTTCTTGAAGAACAATACCACCGCACTTCTGCTCCACGCCTCCGGAGTAGTGCCACCATGGAGAACGGAATTAAAGAGCTTCTGAAGGACTTCAAGTACCGGTTTTCCACCTGCTTTCAGAAGCTCCGCTGTAATTCCATCCTTGCCTGGGGCCTTGCCGTTTTTAAGGTGCTGGAGAGCCATTCTAATCTCGATCAG